GATATTATATCAATAAAGATATAATCAAACCCTCACGTACAATCCTAGTAAAAGTCATGTTCTTGTTCTGAGGAGAGTATTTTTATTTAAAATTATGTTCTTCTATAAAGAAATGGTTGTTGCACATACTACAGTTATTTTCTTATTGTTTGAATCTTGAATACCCAAAGTGGGAAATTTTTTTATGGATTTTTGTTTGTGGTGTCATTCAATAGATAGTGCAACATTTCATAAGCCTCAATCACCAGTTCTGGCATTGAGATCTTGTATTTCAGCACAACAGATGTCACCATTTTATTTATTATTTGGGTCACATAAATGGATAGATATATAGATAACATCATTGTTTCATTATAGTAAGTTTCTTTGGTTAGATTATTTTCTAGATAATATTTTCTCCTGAAAATAAATCATAACTTTCTATTGCAACCACTTTGATATCATTGCTTTGTTAATCTTGTCATTTTATAAAAGTTAATAAAAGTAACAATTGAATGTTTGTGGACACTTCTTGGATTGTTTGTGCCTCTTACAAATAATTGCCATAAAATAGTTTATTACTAATGTATAATTTCATTTGGCAGTTGAAAGTGAATTTCAATATGGTACTTCTCACAAGATTAGCTATTCTTGTTCATTGCTGCCCTCTGTATGCAAACTTTTTTATTACGCATGCCACAAGCCTCCTGCACCACCCTATTGGAATTAAATGATTCCAACACGGCTCTCGTGCAAATTATCATGAGTCACTTCTCCACCAATAAGAGAATGATACACTCACATGACACATGTGACTCCCTCTATTCGTTTATACCAAACTATCACTTCTTGTTTGGCAGTGCTTGCACTCCGGATGTCTTTCTTTTTAGTCTTGATTAGTGTTTGACATTGAATTAGTTCTCGAAGTGGTTTAATTTTACATACTCAGTTTTTTTTGGTAGCATTCAGGTTCAATTACCCGTGTTGTGTTTGCATTTATTTCTTACTTCAAACGCTTTTGTCAACTGATACAACATGACTTCTGAAGTTACCACTTCATGTGTATCACATTTGACAGGTGTTTTACCACAGGCTTCAGGTGCTGGCAACCCGTCAGGAGGTTTGTCTATGTTTATTTGAAGGGAGATTGAGCATTATATGGGTCAACCTCTATCTCCAGACATTGCCTCACTTCCTCCTGAACCTGTGGAACCTGGGCAGGATGACAAGGACTTTGATCCCCTGTTTTTACATCCTGAAGATTCTGTTCATCCTTGCACGAATTTTTTGGACTTTATTTCTCAGGTATGTGATGTTTTATCCCTCACTCCCATATCTTATGACCCACATCCTTCATTACTACATGAACATACTTCCCAACCATATTTAGTTTTTCCCCATCCCTCAACATTCGGGTTCATGCTGAACAATTTGCCTCTCAATTAGGCAATAGCCTTAGTATTCCTCATCCCCATGGGCTTCGGATCAGTCTGCCCTCGAATATCGTAGGGCTGATTGTTTATATCACAACCAACAACTGTTGGGTTAAGTTTTATCCATTTGGGGGTGGGTCCCAAGTCTCCTGTTAATCTCTCCCATTCCCAATTTGTTCACCTCCATCTTACCCTCACGACTCTTTTTGCAGTACCTTTCTACAATACATCTCCTGTCTGAGGCTCTTCACAGAAACCCAGAAGGATTTTCTATGGACATCCTCTCTCTCCTTACTTCCACATCAGCTTGTTTGTCTTTGGCTCTGGCTTTACAAACAGGTTTATCTGTTGTTGGAACCTTTTAGGTCGTGATGCGATTTTATTGAGAACCCATTTACCTGGTCCTTATCTCCGTGATTTGCAAATAGCTCCATTTTTAAGACGTTTCATCTTTGATATGGTCCTGAAGTCCTTGGATTGTTCTGTGGCATCTGTCCAGCAACAGTCTACCCTTTCTCATCTGGTAGCCCATTTATCTCATGGTCATGGGAGTTGATTGCATGCAGTAGACTTCATTTTGATACCAGATGTCAAATTCCCAGATCTATAGCTCAGAGCTAATCCTATGTAATACCCAGGAATTAGGGTGGTTCTCAATTCCCTGGTTCTTTGGTTTGAGGTGAAGAGAGTATGATCCTCATCCTGCCCTCACCTGGATGTTGGTACCCAGTGAAGAGGTTTTGGAAGTAGTTGACTTACCGAGAACGATCTGCCGCACCCTAGGCACTCTACACCGTGTGATGCAGCCTCATTTACCCACTTTTCTGGTTGTGGGATTGAGTTACCACATCTTTCTTTGGTCAGGATCACTTTCCTACTGCATTCTCTCCCACTTGGATGTGCTCCTCTCAATTTCTGCCATGATTTCTTATACATTCCACATATGGGTGAAGAATATACCTGGATCAGAAGTGGTTTGGTTCCCCTCTTCAGATCTGACTCTCTTATCTACAGAGGTATCCTTTAAATGCATTTGGGAGATACATATGTTCTTCCCTTGCAATTGTCCCTCCTCATATTCATAGTGGGATTCTAGCTAATCATGTGAGTAGAGGGAAGTACCGTATCGGAAGTGATGATTTTTCTATACTGAAAATTTATTTCCAATAGGTACTTTCCTCTTCTCCTTCCTCCTTACTCACTTCCATTGCTTCCATTTTCTACCAAATTTCAAAATGATAGTTCAGTAGAGTCACATAGAGGGAATCACATGAGTGTACTGTTCTCTTATTGATGGAGAAGTGATGCATGATGATTTGCATGAGAGACCCGTTGTAATCATTTAATTCCAGTAGGGGGATGCAAAGGCTTGTGGCATGCATAATAAAAAAGTTTGCAGCAATGAATAAGAATAGCTAATCTTATGAATGGAGGGAAGTACCTATCGGAAATACATTTTTAGTATGGGAAAATTATAACTTTACATAACCTGCTTAAAGCTTAATATTTGATCCTTTGCACAAGCACAGTCACAAATTTTGGTGAAGTAGTTTCTTCTATTCTGCATTATATTTTTAAAAAGAAGATACTTTTACACATACTTTATAAAATTTCTTAATGAATAAAACAATCCTCTCATCTACAATATAGATTAATGTATTGTTATCATTATTTTAAATATAAAGGACAAGTTTAAAAATTTTAGTAACATTGACAACCTTTTTACTGACACATTAGAAAAAGGTAAGTTTAAAACAAAAAAGGTTAGAACAATTTCATTAAAACCAAATGGTTAAAAACCTATCATACATTTTGACACAACCTAGTGTCTTCAGTGATTACTGTGGAAGACACTAGACTATTCAAAGGTTATGGCAGATTTTTAACCTTTTGGTTTTAATGGAATCATTTTAACCTTTTGTATTTTAAATTTTAAAAATCCGATACAGCTAATGATGATTATGTTTGACAATTAATGTTAAAACTTTGCATTGGGAAGTGCTATTCACTGGCCAGAAGGCAAAACTGCACTGTATTTTGCACTTTTACTAAGCCATTT